AAAAAAAAAAAAAAAAAAAAGAGGCCCTTCACCTCACCTTGTTGCCCAGGCTGATTGATCTTGAACTCCTGGGCTCATGTGATCCTCCTGCCTCAACCTCCCCGAGTGCTGGGATTACAGGCATGAGTCACCGTGTCCAGCCTCCAGTGTTTACTGGTGGGGAGTCAGGATGTAACCAGCTCCTTCCTTCCCACATCCTCACGTTTTGGAGCTGAGAGGGTCCTGGAGGCCATCCTGGGGCTTCATCCTGCTGCTGGGGAGAGGGCAAGGGTTTCCCCGAGGTCACAGGGAACCCACCTTTGCCTGGAAGCATTCTGCAAAGCCCAGCACAGGTGGTGCACTGTCCCCAGGTGTCCTCCTGCCACGGACTGTCCTAGAACTACTTAGACCATGGGCTCCCTGCACTTTTCTCTCCACGTTGCTGGCCTTTTAGGCGAGGGCAGACTGGGTTGCAGTCCAGCCCTGTGAGACTTAGTTGGGTGACTTTCCCACCTGGAAAACAGGCCGGGAGGTGGTGGCCGCAGCTGAAAGGTGCCCAGCCCATGCCCAGTGCTGGCTCTGTGCTGGGGCCTTCCGGGTCTCATGCCCTAGACCCAGAGGGTGTGGCCTCTGAGAGGTTGGCCGCAGTGGGAGGAGGAGCTGGAACGGGTGGGTGAGGGTGGCCTCGCCCTCCCTGCCCCTTGACCCAAGTGCCCCCCGCCCTGGTGGCCACACGCCGGCCCATGCTGACATTCCCCTCTCTCTCTTCCGCAGAGACAAGAGGACCAGCAGCGACACCGCCCCTCGCCCTGGAGGGTTCTGTACAATCTCATCATGGGACTCCTGCCCTTACCCAGGGGCCACAGAGCCCCGGAGATGGAGCCCAACTAGGTGCCTGACCCGCCCGGGGGGCGTCGGGGACTTGGGGGGCAGGCCCCTCCCTCCTCCTGACACCCTGGCCAGCGCGGGGGACTTTTTCTGCACCATGTAGCATACTGGACTACAGCCCTGCCTGTCCCAGGGGTGGGCGGGGGCGGCCACTCCAGCCACTCCAGCCCCGCCTGGGGCCACGGCGGAGACCTGGACTCCTGGGTCCCGGCGGAGAAGCCGACGGACTCAGCATCGGAGGCGGCGGTGACCGAGGGGTGGGGACCGAGCCACCCACCTCTCGCGGCCCACCACCATCTCAGGAAAGGCTGCTGGTGCTGGCTGCCCGTTCCAGCTGCAGGGGTGACACTGGGGGTTTCCTCCCGGCGCGCCTTCACTCTGGGCCTGGCCTCGGGCCCCTGGTGCTTCCCCCCCTCCTCCTGGGGAGGGGGTCCGTGAAGAGCAAATGAGCCAAACCTGACCACTAGCCTCCCGGAGCCAGAGCGGGGCGCGGCCGGCGCGGCCCCAG